ATGAAGGAATATGTTCAGAAAATTTTTGCGATTCTTGTATTGAAACGCGGCTTCATCTGAAAAATATATCATTTTTTCTGGTTTAGAATTAAATTTGGCTGTTAAGAAATTATAAATTCTTTTTGATAAAAATGAACTGCACAGTATTATGGCTTAATGATTCGGATAAAATAACAAAATTTATATTTTTTAATTCTTCTCCAGATTTATAATATCCTACAAATGGATGTATAGTGGCCTGCACGTTGTTCCAATGAAATTCCTGAATTTCATCTTGTAAAATGAAGGAATAATTCTCAGAATAATCTAGAATTGTTAAAAATTCCCCATCTTTTAAATTTTCTTTGGAATTCTTCAAAAATAAACTTTGTGCTATAAACGAGTGACGCAGTAAAATTTGAACTTTTTCTAATAGATATTCGATGAAATCATCAATGGACTTTATTATAGTTTCAAGATTTGCTCTATACACCGTGATCCATTGTTTAAACGTGACATATTCTATACGATTTCTCTGAAACAATTGGTATAATTGGCCTTTAAGAGATTCTATACCAGGGCATTGATCACAATTTGTTAAATAACATTTTGGCTGAGATGGATTACAAATAATTTGTGCCAAAAGATAGTTATAAAATTTATACAGTAATCTTCTCCTGCTGTAATTTCAGCTACTACATTTGTCATTAATTTCACATTCTGATGAATGGCGCAGACACAAACAGTGTGTGTGCCACTAGCTCCAACTAAAATACAGTTTTTTGGTCTAAGTTCGGCAAATTTAGAGAATCCAATTGATATATTTGCGTATTCTTCCTTAAACATCTTGAATATTTCTATAAGATTATTTAAAATAAGTCTTTGAACTGATTCTTTCTCGCCTTTTACAGATACACTTTTATTCCTGGCATGAGTCGGCTTATTTCATCAGAACTATAATTTTGTTATTTTTATTGCTTAAAAAATTTTACAAAATCTTCGAAATTTTCTTTATCTCTGGTTAGTTTAATAATTTAAGATAATGACAATTTCATAACATTCTTGGTCTTGATGGGTATGACTTAGTCTGGGGGGGGGGGGGGTGGAGGGTTGGGGGTAGGCCTGGTAATTAATGAATAATTTTCCTGCACTCCTTTAATTTAATCCTGCTTTTTTGTTCGTGTGCTAGTCGGATTTTTTAATTATTTTTAATTTACATTGAAATATTAACAAAATTATTAAAAAATTTTATCCTGCGAATATCTCAGGGGAATAAGGTTTACAAAGTTATATAATAGAATTTTATGATATATTATACATTAAAATATTTTTAATCAATAAGAAAAATGAATTTTAACATATTATAACTATTATATATAGCGTCTATTTTTTTAAAGTATAAAAATCGCAATATTTCTTTAAATAAATATCCAGCCATGATTGTTGAAGAAATAATTAAAAAAATAGTAAACGGATAATATTTCTTAAAAAAATAAAAATCGGAGATCATATACATTTCGAAATATTAATTTCAAATTTTCAACTGACCATAAGATGACTCATATTTTTAAAAAAATTTATTTTTATGTTTTCGCCATAATTATCAATTATTAACTTAGCTATTGATATTAGATTCAATATTTGATCATATTTAGTTTTAAATTAAAAACTAATTATTTAACATTAGTAAAGCAAAAAAAGACGTTTTTGGACCTTTAACCCCGATTATCTCCGATAATATAGTTGCTAATACACTAAAATTTTGTTTATAATCTAATGGGAACATATATAACCAGTCTACAACTTTTTATCGAAATTGAAAGGGGTCGGCCGAAAATCTTGAGTTTTTTTGCTCATTTGACATGGAATGACCCGTTACTGAGTATTAAAATAACATTGAGTTGGAGGTTTTAAATTATAAATGCTGTCGTAATACATTAGAAATACTTAATTATTATTCTTCCATTAAGGAAATTTTTTAAAAGCTTAATACTGCAATAACTACATCAGCTCCAGTTGAAAGTTTATTCAGTTAATTATTTGAAAAATTGATTATCTTAAAAAATAATGATTTGATTTTAAGTACTCTTTTGCAAATTAATATTTAAACTTCCATTAAAAATACTAGTCTCCCCTCCCTGTCTATGCTATGAATGGGGTAAAAGTAATATTAAAATGCATGATTGTTATAATTAACTCGTTATTATATATTTTATTAATTATTGTAAATATTCATTCTTATTATATGCATTTTATATTCTTCACCAATAAATAATAAAAATTGTATTTTATACTTGACTATTATAACTTAATTAGTAATGATTCTTTATAAAAATTATCTCGTATTTAAGATGCTCTCAATTTGCAAAGTTAATTATGAAAATCAAATTTATGGCAGTTATTTTTTTAAATTAATAGAAATTTATAGTGTTGTTAAAGTTACTTTTGAGTTACATTGATAAAAACATAACTAGTTATAGTTACTAGTTACATTGATAAAAATATAACTAGTTACATTTCAGTTACATTATGAGTTACTTTCTGGTGCGTATAAATTTTAAAATAGTCAATTAATTCTAAAAATAGATTTTAGGTTATGTATTAAGAATTAATGATTTTTTCACTCAAATATTTGCAAATATGATATTTATATATACAGTTATTGCAAATATTTATTTTAAACTTATAGCAAATATATATATTTTAATGTTAATTCAAATAAAACTCTATAATATTGGAGCTTTTTTGTCAAGAAAATTGTGATAAGAATATTAGAGGAAGGGTATTAGATAATTTATTTTTTATTTAATTATATATGCATGCATCCTATTGTATAATTTGGAAAACATTTTAGATCATAGAATTTACCATTTTGGAAGGCAAAAAATTCCTGAACAAGAGGATCATGACAAAAACACCCTAGATAATTTCCCAATTTTCAAAAAAATTAAATTAGCATTTGTTGAAGGAAATGATATTTGATATCTGCATAATATTTTGTTTTTCTTTCATAGTCTTTGTCTTGTAATGATGACTAATTTCGCATTTTATACAAAAATTATTTAACTCCAAAATAATCTAAGTCTTTGTCTTTCCTTATACTAAGTTTTATTCTCTAATTTAGTAAAATTTAAAAAAAAATACATTTATAACTTATGAAATTCCAGAGTAAAAATATTGCCAGCAACTTGAGGGAAAAAATATGGAAAATATTGTGCCAAATTTGTAAGGAAATATAATATAAAAAAATATTAATTTCTTTTTTGGTTACAAAATTATAAAAACCAGCAATGCAACAATTTAAGAAAAGAAAATCTATTTAGACATATCCTTTGCGAACACAATCAGACATTTAAACAAAATTTTAAATTTATTTAAAATTAATTTAGCACAAAGATAGTCCATTGGAACCAAGTTTTACCCCTCGCTTGAGATTATACATGTGTAGATCGCCAGATCTTTTACAGTTAACTCCATCACTAAAGCTGAAATACAAAATATAAATATAACTACCTTAATAATTTTTTGTTTGTTCGAATAGTCTCAGATACCTTTGGACCCCAAGCTCTAAAATTATTCCAAATAATAGGGTAAAGGTTACGTTTAATCACAGGTGATCCAAAAGAAGACTTCTACCTATGACAAAAAATATCAATAAATTTGTCGATCCAAATGTATATCTATACATGGGTCATTGAGCCCCGCCGACCAAACCTAAATATATTATTTATTTATTTTTCTTCCTTTAATAAGTATCATAAATCTTTATTTAAATCTTGTAATTAATTTATAATTGTATAGTTTATAAAATGAAAAATATAATAATTAGTAAACGATTACGAAAAAAAAATCATAATAACAAAGGACAATATTGAGGCATAGACCATAAAATAATGTAAAAACAAAATAAATAAAAGCGAAAGCAGCAAAATTATTCAAAACCTCCTTCATCTAATCATCAGGAGAGATCGAATTAATAAATCAAACATAATTAGCCTTAAGAATGGCTATTGTGGTCCTCTGCCTTAAATAAAAACCTTCGCGAGGCTCTCCAGAATTTTTTCTGATTAGGCGGCCAACATCTTTAAAAAGTTTTTAACCAAATCACCATATGTAGTTAAGGTGGAGCAAATGCTGGGTATGAATATGTAATTTGAGGAATCAGCGCTGTATTTGCCAATCTTAAAATTTTGAGCTCTGTTCAGAGCGTCTTTATTAAAATTGGAGGGGGAGTTAGTGTCCGGACAAAAGAAATCCCATATTATAAACTTTCCTTGAGACCATGGGATACGTGTGACCCCATCAGGACGCCTACTATCGAAAAATAGGCCAGAAGGCTCCATTGAGGTAGGAAAACCAGCTGACCTAAGTGCAAGAGATATGATTTTATTGTACTTCAAGTGTCAAGTTTGCCGACCAGGATTATAATTGCAATGTAAAGGATGCAGTGCAATATTGTTATCATCAGTATGACATTTGCTGCATTTATATAATAATGAAAAGGGAATGTTGAGCCTGATACATAGATCACAGCTGAGCTCATGGTTGTCCAATTCGAGTTTGAGATATATAGATGGAATAACATCTAAAAATTCATATATCCGATCTTTGATAAGTTGAATAAATGTGGATCTAGCCAATGGTGAGAGACTCAAATAAGGTAATCAAAGGATTTTTATAAAGTTATAGTATATTAATTATAATTTTAATAATTCTTTTAATAAATGATCAATTCACATATTAAAAATAAAATTAATTATTTCAATATATTATTTAGATTTATACACACATATTTTTAGAAGCAACTAGTTACTTTTGGCAGTTACATTTCAAAAAATATAATTAGCTACAGTTATTTTTTAGCAACAATGTAACTAGTTACTTTAACAACACTAGAAATTTAGAATTTATGGATGAAAATTATGATTTTAATATTTTTTAATGTTGCAATTTTAAATTGTATTAAAATTACATAGCATTTCAAAAAATATATGTTAATAAAATGTAATCAAAATGCTGACCCTGTAAATCAGTTATGATGCTCCATGAATCAATTTCATATATCACTCTGCGAAAGTTATCTGATAATAGTGATTGCAAATATCTATTTGGAGTTTGTAAATTATTTTGCTGTGATCGATTTTGTCTATTTCTAGCATTGTTATTATTTCTAGTATTGCTATTAATCCCAGTAGTTCTATATCGAAAACGCTGTTCAATTGATGATGCAACTGGTAAACTATAACAATTTCAAATAAATTCAAAAAGTTCAATATATAAAAAGGTCATTTGCAAGGTAGTCACTTTCAAAAAAAGAGCAAAAAGACCATATTATGTTTTATTATTAGTGATACATAACTTGAAAACTATAATTGTAGGTTAATTATTAATATCTAAACACTTTGGAATGAATTTTAAGCTTATATAAGTTATAGGAATAAAGGTGATAAAAACAAATCAGCATAATAATAAAAAAAAGAGAATTAAAATTGGATCAAAAAGAAGAGCAAAAATCAGAAATAATTTCTTTTTTTTAAAAATATAAATTCCCTTTTTCCAACCACCAATTTTTAGGCCAATGCCTGGCATAATTTTTATTTTAAGACCAAGCACACTATTAGATATCAATTGAATGGACATATTTTTTACGAAAGAATTTAATTATCACTTTATTTTCTTTCTTTCTTAAATGTATAAATTAAAATAATAATTTTTAGGCTATTTGCCTATACTGATACTATTTATAATTTAAATTGTCATTGCAAGGTCATTGTCCGTTAAGAATTAGTGGCAGGTTTTAAATATTGTGCATATCTTTCTATTAAAACAACATGGCAGGCCATAGTTTGGATTTGTAAAAAAATTAGTAGTAAAAAGAATAAGAATTATAATATCAAATTTTCTATAAGTTCAATTAAATTGACTATTATTTAGCATTATTATTGTTTATATCAAATTTATTGTATTATAGTAATAAATATCATAATAAAATAAGGTTCAAGATAAAGTTGGCCAAACTAACTGATTCCTAATGTTTCACAATACACGTATATTGATTGATATATAAAAACATTTACAGTAAAATAATATAATATTGCATAGTCATAAATTTTACTTGAGTGAGGCTATTTCTAATGTATCAAAATCTGATATAGTCCTAATATTATACATAATTTTGGTAAATGGTTTTTTGCACATAGGGCATTCTGCTTTGACTTTAGCCCATTCTGATAAACAAATGAAACAAAATTCATGAAAGCAGCTTTCAGTAAAGGAATTATTATTTCGCTGTCCTAATCAAACAAAATAAATATATAGTGTATCATTCTAACCTAAACATATTGGGCATTTATTATTCCATTCTTTGTTACTTTCCAGGCTTAATGTAGACTTTTTTTCATCGTTATTCTTATCATTTACCATTGTACGATATGAATCCAGCTGATTTTTTTATAATTAGGTAATTCGCTAAATTTATCATAATGAAGAGCGATAGCGATTGCGAATCGATCGCAGTGATTTTCATTCATAGTGCAAAGCGATTATATTAATTCAGACAGGCGCATACGAAGGAATTTGATTTGAAAGGGGGGGGGGGGGGGGTAATAAATTTTTTTAAGAAATATTATTGTTATTTATAAATATCAAACATAAATTTATTAGGACTAATAACTATTTCTTATACACAATTTTAAATTATATGAATTATAAAAAAATTATAAATATAAACCGGCACATAAAAAACTATAAAATAAATGTGAATTAAAAAATATAAATTGAATATAACCACCATATGAATCACTTAAATGACAAATTAGAAATTTGAATTTTTTGAGCCTTTAAAATTTATATATAAAGTAAAAAAATTTAATGTTGGAAATATAAATATTAATACACAAAAAGTTACTTAGGAATAATTGTATTTTGTATTATTGTATTTACAATGTAAAATCCAATCTTCGTTGGGATTGAGCTAATTTTTCAATTACTCATCCTTGCTTGGCGTCAAATGCCTATAAATATTTAAAAGATCCAAACCATTCAATCCACTTTCAGAAGTGAACTTCTTAGGTATGTTATCAGAGAACTGCAGGCTTTTTAAAATACACCTGGGCGAGCCCGAAATTTTTTTTTAAAATAAAACACTCGTACCGGTGCAACTTACTACTTTACTCCGTATAAAAATTACTTATTTATTTAGTGATATTGACATTTACGATTGACGTGCATAAATTTAATAATATATTTTTTAGTGATATTGACATTTTTGACTGATTTGTTATAATTAAATATAATAAATTTAGTGATATTGACCTTTTTGGCTGACTTGTAAAAATTAAATATAATAAATTTAGTGATATTGACATTTTTGACTGACATGTTTTACTCCTTATAAAAAATTACTAACTTATTTAATGATATTGACATTTTTGACTGACATGTTTTACTCCTTATAAAAATTACTCACTTATTTAATGATATTGACATTTTTGACTGACACTTATTTAATGATATTGACATTTTATACTGATATGTTTTACTCCTTATAAAAATCACTCACTTAGTTAAGGAAATTGACATTTTTGACTACGTGTAAAGATTAAATATAATAAATATAGTGATATTGACACTATTATAAAAATTATTAACTTATTTGACATTTAAAAAATTTTTTATTCTCTTTGTAAAATTTATTTATAAAAGGTCAAAACTTATTATATAAATATGAGATATAAAAGCTTTAAAAATTTATTCTGATATAAATAAGATATGTGATCAGGGTTGCCATGCCCTCCCCCATCAGCGGGAGACTCCCGCAATTTTTTAGTTTATACGCAGACATCTCTCTTCCGCATACCGCAATTGGAAATCTCCCGCAAAAATCTACCGCAATTTTTTAATCTCTCTCGCAATTTTTTTTTTTTAGTATTTTAACGTTTTTAATATATAAATAATAATTTGAAACATTAATTGATTATTTTTATATTTTTAAAATAAATTTTAAATATTTATTCGAAAAACATGTCTAGTTTGTAAATTTCTTTCTATCCTGTTTTATTTTTATCCAATAATAAATCTTTCATTCATATAAGTCAGTACAGGGGAGTATATCTACATTGATTGCAATACAAAAATATTCTCAAAAATAATAAATAATACAGATGCAACTACATTTGCGGAAATCGTCTACATCTATCATGTAGTTCAACATTCACAGAGCTATATCATCACAATGTGGGTCGAATCTCTCATGATATTTAACGACTCCAATATAAGTGCATATTTGTGGCAGAACAAAAATGAGAAAGGCTATTACTAGTGTTAGTACCTGAATCCAATAAGTCAATTCTAGACGATTTGAAAGATGGGCATCCATATGCAATTCTAACAGATGCATCTAATAAGGGAAATATTAAAACATTTCCCCCTTCGCTATTTCAACAAGAATAAAAACATTTCAAAAAAACTGTTAAAATTTTTTCCTCGGATAGTGAAAAATCCAATAATGTTGCTAGCCACATGATGGTAAATATAGCTGATTCATGGTTATCAATGATATGCATGTCAGCTTTCTGTGCTGATAATGTCTCTGTAAATTTTGGCAAAAACCAAATTTACCGAATTGAGGCAGCATAATAATGAATTAATACCAATTGGCTGTATATACTACATAATTCTTGCAAGAAGGTAATGAATGTACTATCTGTGGATGTCGAAATAATTGTGATGAATGTTTTAACGAATTTAGTTCATCAACTAAAAGAGTTAATAAATTAAAAAAGTTGGTGAAGGGGTCTGACTAGGAAAGGTGTGAATGTTGCGTTATATACCTATCAGATGATTGTCATTAATACCTGCCATCGATAGGATTTAAAAATTTTACAAACTTAAAAAAACTTCTTAAAGAGATTTTAAAAGCTGTCCTAATATTTTGAAAAATTTTTTTGAGTATGAAATGGCAGAAGCATATTTGAGATTCATTTCACATGTATGAAATCTACTTCATGCAGTTAATATTCAGTTGCAATCAGAATATTCTTTATTAAAAAAAATTCACAAAATCATGCTACAGCTCTGTTCATCTCTACAGTTAAAAATTGATAATAAATTTTATGGCGCTATTGCTAAAAATATTATATTAAAATGTTCAAATAATACACTAATTAATACATTTTTTAAATGAAGCAGATATTTTTATTAAGACAATTTTAGAATATTTACAATCAAAATTGTTTAATAACTCTATTTACAAATGTATAAATATTATCACCTTGGAACAGAAACCATTAATTGATGGTTTTTATAATTTAATAAATATATTAAAAATACCGAAAGACATTGATGTCTTATTTGAGGAGAATATAATTCTCTCTATTTTTTATGATTCGCCAAAATAATTAAAGTTAGATGGTCTAAAAGCAGAGGAGAAATGGGTGGAATTTTTTCGTAATAACGATAAATCCCCATGCTTGGAAAAAATTTGCTAGTATGTTTTCTCCTTACCTCATTCTAATGCCTCATCGGAGCTCATTTTTAGCCTGATGAGGACTGCCTGGAGAAAGGAGAGAAATCGTATTGCTTTAACAACATTAGAGGCCGAGCTAATGGTTAAACAAATATATAATACTAGTAGATTGCCCGTCAGAAATGACGGGGAATGAGAATTTTCTTCTTATATTTATGCTAGATGTTACCTGTTATTTGAAAATAATGTCCAATTTTATTCTTTTTACCCCCTCCCCCCTTCAGGCCAGGTTCAATCCATTAAAACTAAGACTAAATACTATGGTTTGAGTAAGAATAAATTTAAAGCTTTTACTTGATAATAAATATGTTAAATTTACTGATCATTTATACCTAAAAATTAATATTAAAAAAAATTCCCAGGTAAAGTACAAAGTCATAATAATTTAAAAAATTCATCCAAGCCCAATGAAAGATGATAATAATTTTGGTAGTTGAGAACTGAATTAAAACATTTAAATAATCATAATGAATTTAAAAATACAATAAAAATCAGATTTTCATGAGCCTTTTGAGCAGGCCGAGCTCAGGCCTGCAAAATAACTTGTTTTAGACCAATGTCTAACCCATAGTTAATAATAAAATTATTAAACGTCCACGCTCATTATAATTTTCCCCAAGCTCAGCCCAATATAATTTATAAAAATATTTTCCAAGCCCAGTCCAACTCATAATAATTTTATAAAAATTTTTCTCAAGCCTGGCCATCCCATAGTAATTTTCAAAATTTTTTCCCATACCTGAATATAGGTAAATCTCTAAAAACCATATCTATTTTTTTATTCTATCTTAACCCATCTCACCCCTACTTCAGACCAAAGCTAACCAATTTAGACTAAGAGTGAATACTATTTTTTTGAATAAAAATAATATTTAAATTAGCTTTTACCTGAGGGCCATATAAATATTTTGTGTTAAATATTACACCTATGAAAAATATTATAAAAATTCCCAAGCCAGATCCACGCACTTAGGAAAATTTTCTCAAACCTGCCAAAGACCATAATAATTGTGGTAGTTGAGAACTGAAATAAAATATATAAAAGATCAGGCCTGACCATGTCTTCAAAAATTTTCAGGCCAATTTCTAGCCCATATTTAAAATTAAAAAATTTTTTGAAAAATGTTTAGCAAGCTATGTCCAAGTCCAAATTAATTGTGAAAAATATTTACCATGCCCAGGAAAACTCAGAATAATTAATTTTTTCCTTGGATCCTGAAAAATAGTAAGGGGTTTATAAGAATTAAATCTGTCTAATATATGTATATATTAATGGTAGTTGAGAACTGAAATAAAATATATAAAAAGTTTTGCATAGGCCTTGGTTTATGATCAGGCCTGGCCATGTCTTCAAAATTTTTCAGGCCAATTTCTAGCCCATATTTAAAATTTAAAAATTTTTTGAAAAATGTTTAGCAAACTATTTCCAAGTCCAAATTAATTGTGAAAAATATTTACCATGCCCAGAAAAACTCAGAATAATTAATTTTTTTCTTGGATCCTGAAAAATAGTAAGGGGTTTATAAGAATTAAATCTGTCTAAATATGTATATATTAATTGGGAAAATTTTTCAAAATTATAATCAAATAAAGGGGAAATATCTGATTTACCTATCATTATATGAAATTCATGAATACATATTAAAGATCGTAACATTAAAAGGTGCTGGAAAATAAGGATCTACTATATGTCAAACAATATATATGGTTAAAAAAAATAATATTCTGAGTCAATTTTAAAATTGACACAGACAAATGTAAAATATTAAAAGGCAAAAATATAAAATAGTTCTGCATCATACCTTAATGAAATTGCTATCCCTATGTCGGCCATGACTAAAATACGAATTGCTATAAACTACGAATTGCCAGGTAAATTGCGAATTGCCATGTCTAAACTACGAATTGCGTAAATTAATGTTAAATTTAGATAAAATTATGGA